CTCCCTACTTTCTTCTTCCCTCCTTTCCTCCCTTTCTTTCTTTCTTTTTTTTTCTACCCACCCTGCCACCCCTTTCTTTTCAAGGTCTCCCTCTGTCACTGAGGCTGGAGTGCAGTGATGTGATCTTGGCCCATTGCAGCCTTGACCTCCTGGGGCTGAGGCATCTCCCACCCCCATCTCCCAAGAAGTATCTGGGACCACAGGTGCGCACCACCATGCCTGGCTAATTATTTTTGTGTTTTTGACAGAGATGGGGTCTCACCGTGTTGTCCACACTGGTCGTGAACTCCTGGGCTCTGGCGATCCTCCCTCCTCGGCTTCCCAAAGCGCTGGAGCTACAGGCGTGACCCATCACCCTTGGCCCATTGAAAAGGGCTCTTGTGCCCTTTTGTAAGGGCACAAAAGGGGTTTTTGTAGGGTTTTTGTAACCCTAACCCTCAGGTACCCTTAGGTACTCGTTGACCTAAGGATACAGGTCCAAGCATGACCAAGGAGCATGGATTTTTCTCTGTTTTGTTTCCAGCTGTGGCCTAGTGTCTGCAGCAGTGTGTGGGCCACCGTATGCACTTAGTACATGTTTGTTGATTGACTTCATGAACCTCTCCTGAGGTTTCTCAAGAGAGAATGAGAACTTCCCACTCTGAGGGTGGGCATGAAGGATGCTGGATGTCGGTGGTCTCTGGTCAAGGATGGAGCCTCTGCCCTGGGAGAGACTTGAGTCTGATGGCAGAGCTGTGGCTCCCGATTCTAAGTGGGACATAGCCCCTGCCTTCAGGAAACTCATTCTGAAGTGGGAGATAGCCCAGTCCGATGGTGGTGGCAGAAGCAACACAGTTCCTATCTGTGGCAGTTATCTCTGTGTAGGCAAAGGCTGAGGGTGTTCATGCACCTTCTCATTTAAGTATCGTACCTAGTATTGTGGTTCCCGCCTGTCATCCCAGCACTTTAAGTCCGGGAGTTCAAGACCAGGCCGAGCAACATAGTGAGACGCTCCCCGCCCACTTCCGCAAAAAAACAAAACAAAACAAAAATTAAAAAATTTAGCTGGGCATGGGGGTACACACCTGTAGTCCCAGATACCCAAGAAGCTAAGGGAGAAGCATCGTTTGAGCCCAGGAGTTCGAGGCCGCGGTGAGCCATGATCGCCCCCGTGTACTCCAGTTTCGGTGACAGAGCAAGACCCTGTCTCAGATGATCATAAATAAAAATAAACATAGGCCCAGCACTGTGGCTCACACCTGTAATCCCAGCACTTTGGGAGGTCCAGGCGGGCGGATCACCTGAGGTCAGGAGTTTGGGACCAGCCTGACTAACATGGGGAAACCCCACCTCTATAAAAATAAGTAAATAAATAAATATAGTACTGGGTGTGGTGGCTCACGCCTATAATCCCAACGGTTTGGGAGGCTGAAGCAGGAGGATTGCTTGAAAGTATCCAGGAGTTCAAGACTAGCTTGGGCAACATAGCAAGACCCTGTCTCTACAAAATACATAGAAATTAGCGGGGTGTGGGCCCTAAGTCCCAAGCGACTCTAGAAGTGGAGGCTGGGCATCACTTGAGGCCAGGAGTTCCACACCAGCCGGGGCAACATAGTGCGACCCTATCTCTGCAAAAAAATTAAACACTAAGGACAGCGCCCCGCCCCCGATCTTCTGCAGAGACTACCGAGGCCCCCAGAGGGCCAGGAACGGGTGTTGGCCGTGACAGTCCCATCCTGGCAGGGTTCCCTGCCAGCGCTTGGCAAGGCTGCGTCCTCCTGACCCTTCAATCTCAGCCCAATGTCACTTGCTCAGAAAAGCCATTTCCGACTCTGGGCTGGCCCCCGCCCCCCGCAAACCTCCCCTCCACGGTGGGCAACGCGGGGTGCGGATGATCTGTTCACTGGTTTTTCTCCCCCCACCCGCCCATCCGGGAGGGGGTGGGGACCCTGTTTTGCGGCGCTGGGCGCCCAACCCCCCCCCCGGGCCTCAGTTTCCCCACAGATCCACAGGGCCGGAAGGAAGGGGGCGGGGGCAGGGGGGCGCG